AAGAGAAGAAAACTCTTGCTTCAAGCTAGCAAAAAACCCAATCCAACAAGAAGAACAAGGCAGCATCCCTGGAGCTCACTGGAATAAGATTGAACAGAGTGAGTCCCAGGCTGTGAGCCCGCCCCAGCTCCTCTTAAAGATGCCACCAAAATTCTGGGCGTAAAGCAGATGAGTATGGGAAAAATGAGACCAGACTCCCAGTACTAAAGTGATTTCAGCATTTATTCTAATAAAAGAAAGGGCTAAAGCAAGGGGGCCTGGGCTGAGTAGGAGCGTTCCTGCTGAGGATGCTGCAGTGCCAATGATGGCCCTGATGTCCCAGGTGGAGCTGGACAGATTCACTGGGTCAGATGCCCCTTTTCATCCTGTTTTTTGTCCCTTTGGATTGGTTTCTGTTTGGATCCTTCATTTGCATGAAGGTTTAAGGTACTTGATTGGCCATGACAGTTCTGTCCAGGTTGGCTCATGCTGCACTTTACTGAGGTGTGTTACGGTACCTTGGGTACCAGATTTCTTATAACTGCCCTTGAAACCCCTTTTACAATATAACAACCAAACTAACAGTACATGCTTAACAATTATCAACTATTTGACAACAGTTTCTAACCTATTTTTAACAAATATATAAAGTATCATCATAAAGTCACCCCAAGACCGTTCCCCAGCCCACACCACCCAGAACACACTGGAGAGAGCAATTGAACGGAGCGATCCCAGGCTGAGACCCTGCCGTGGCTCCTCTTAAAAATACCCCCAACATTCTGGGCATAAAGCAGATATGAGTAAATAAAATATCATCATAAAATCACCCCCAGACAATTCCCCTTTCTGAATCTGAGCTGATGTGACTGACATTCAGCTGTCCCCTTTTCTGGTGGAAAGATGGGGAAGGGAATATTTTGGTTGTTTGAAGCCGGGGTTCGTGTTGTGCATTCCTGGGATGCTTTTCTTGGTTGTGGGAACAGACAGAACCATTCATCCTGGTATGGAAACACTGCTGGAAGAATCTAGAAGAGATCTAGAAAATGCTTGTTGTCTGTCATATTTTGTAAAAGAAATACAAACAAAATAAGCAGAGCTGCTTGCACTGGAATATCCAGAGAAGCAGATGGGGTTTTCTTTACAGTGTGTCAGGAGAAAGTCACATTTCCATGAAGTTTTGCAGGAAGGCAAAGTGTACAGCTTGTGCAGGTAATATGGGGAGTGGGAATGATAAATAACACAGAGAATAGGAGCAGATGGGGTTTTCTTTACAGTGTATCAGAAGAAAGTCACATTTCCATGAAGTTTTGCAGGAAGACAAAGTGTGCAGCTTGAGCAGGTAAATGGGGTGGAATACATGAATGATAAATCACATAAAGAACAGAAATTTTCTATTCCCCTTAAGTTTCTGGATGAAGCTTAAAGGCTATTCTGGCTGATTTCAGTACCAGGGAAGAGGGATGGCTCATGTGTTTCTTACACCACATATCTGCCTGTGTTCAGCCTCTGCTGCTGGAAGCAGATTTTTTGGAAGGGCTGGAAATAGGTTTTTCAGGAGGGCTCTAATAGAGCCTGTTGGGAAGCTGAGGGTTCTGTATGGGAGCTCAGAGCTGGTTGTTATCTCTAATGGAGCAGGGCAGTGCCCTGTGGAGAGCCTGGCCTGTGTCCCAGGCCAAGGATATTTTTGCAGCATAAAAGCTGCATCACTCGGCCAGGAACTAATGTGGGACTAGGATGGCTCAGGCAGCAGTGCTCTGGGTGGTGAAGATGACCTAATGGTGTCATTTGGAAGAGCTCACTGTTCAGAGCTTCCTAAAAATCAGCTCATGTATATTTGTGTTGAAGTGGGGGAGAAGCTGGTGACAGAGAAGGAGTATCTGTCCCTAGCAGCACGCTCAGACTTCTTTAAAAGCATCCCAGACATTTATTTTTATCTGTGTAGCACTGACAAACTGCATTTATAGTAAAATTTACTCCACTTCATCCTTATTTCCCTGTGTGGTGATGAATGTGCAGGATGTGCTGAGGCAGCTGGCCCTGGCTGTGGCACAGGCAGGCAGGGCATCTGCTCTGGCTCTTGCATTGGAGAAGGTTTTGAATCTCTGACCCCTGTGAGCATGGCCATGAACTGTGTGAAAAAATGCATATTTTATGATTGGCTTTTGGCAAATATTAAAATGAATATTATATGTGTTATGTTAGAAAGTGATGCTGTATTAATTGTCTTAAATAATGTGTTAAGTATAGTTTTAGGTTATAACTTAGTGGTAAAATAGAAACTATGCTGTGTAAGATACTTTTTAAAGAGAAGAATGAGGTATTCTCATTGAGATAGCAGCCACAGGACACCTCAATCTTTCAGAGAAAGAGAATTTATTGCTTCAATATCAGAAGAAGCCAACCTCTTCCCACCTTGCTCAGCCCTGAAGACTCTGTCAGGATTCATAGGAAGCAGCTGGATACTCACCAGACAGAATCCTGTGTTTTAATGGAATTTATGCATCTTGTATGAGTATGAATATGCAACAGGCTGTTGATTTTAAGGGTTAATCCTCTGTTAATGTGGGTCCTTTTTTTGGGCTTATTTTGCCCAGAAAAAGGTACCCAGACTGTCCATAACTCTTTTTTTTTT